AGGAACATTGGACACTGACTAGTTACTTGAGGGAAACTGAGCCCTACAGGACTTCTCTTATAGAGGAAATGTTGTTTCCCTGAATGGCAGGAAAGAGGTACAGGAGAGGAAGCGTGGCAAGGCACACATTTGGGAATTTCATTGGTGAGGATTAGAGATGTTCATGGCAGGACAATGAGGAAGTTGGCATGAAGTGGACAAGATTTTTTTTAACAAAAGGAAAAGGAACTCATAAAATGTGTTGCTTCATAAAAAGCTTCCATGTTCCAGGCATTTCTTTCTATAAATAGCCCAACAAAACCACTTCCTTCATGCTGGGCTATAGAGGACTTAATCTCAAGGGAGCTAGTTGGTAGCAAGTCAAATTTCAGATTTTTGGCTGTTGCATCTGTGGTCTATATGGAAAGAGTCATGGTCATGGGCCAGTTATGTAGAAATACACACTGCCAAGATGTCCCAAGAGGCACAAACCGACACCTGACTGGCAGTAACGTGTCAGACACTAAGCACTAGAAGGATGTGAAGACCAAGCTAATCTTCCCACGCAGAAGTATAGTTCCTTCTTGCCAAGACTGAGGCACATTGGCAAAGTGTGGCATTGCTGCTGCCACTGGCTCTTTTTGATGAGTAATGATAGTAACAAATAGCAAGGGGGAGGACTTCAGGCTTCACAGCTGTCATTTGCCAGCACCACATTCGCTTTAAAAAAAGAAATAAAATTAAATATGGTTTATTTTCACTGAGGCAGCAGCAAGGCCACATGAGAGATTTTCCCTAGGCTGAAAATTATTTCTGACTAGTGGAAAATCTCAAGGCTCCTTTATAAATTATCCCAGCCTCTACATCTCCGCACTATGTTTAGCATAGCACTAATATCAAGCTGGTGTGTGCATTTTCCTTAGCACTGCTGGCCACCCTCAAGACATTATTTAAAGATCATATTTGCCAAAACAAACTTTACCCTTCAGCAAATTTATTTCCCAACATCTTTCTCCCATGAACATCATGTCCCCCAAGTGAAGAATGAAGAATGTGTGCTTGGCCACTCCGTGGCTCTATCGTCAATCAAGTACATGTATATGAGTGTGTGCTCATTTGTATTACAATTAAGTGCTCATACTTTGACCAGAATCTCCATTTTATTATAAAGAATACTTCTAGTACCTGTCCACATTCAAAGGCAAAGTAATGGTTGATGTCTTCTTAGGCAGATGATCAGAATGAGGATTTTTATCTTCTATGAGAAAATAAATTCTTGCTTGATGCGCTTATGTGAGACTGAAATTCTGATATAGGAGTTAGACACATAAATTTTCCTTCCAAAAGAGGATATAGGAACAGGTATATTGGCAGGAGGAAATAACGACAATAGCAGTGCTTTCCTGATAACCAGTATCTCTGTGACTTGAAAATATATTGATAATGTCATACAAAATGCTCAGACAGACCTCAAAACAGGACTACTTTCCCATTTGCAGATTAATGTTCAAATCACCGATATGAAGTTACATGTCCTTCTGCTTTCTCAGTCTCCATCTCAATGCACCTTGATTTTAGTTTTCGCAAAGTCACACAGATTCACCATGACTAGTGGGTGCTTTTGTTCATCCCTTCCCCAGAATGCTAAAGAGCCAGGTGCTTACAGCACTCTGAAAGGAGGTGAGGCAGAAAGGATCAAATATTTCGGTGATGAAGAATGAATTGAACCTGTATGCTGTATTTCCCAGGGAACAGTTTTAAGAAGTAGGCAAAGAGAGCTCTTGCTGTATTTCCTCAAGGCTGGCCGTGGCTCTGCTGATTTACGTAGAGGTCAATCCTGTTGGTGTGCACTGTGTGCAAAAGCTGTGTTCATAGGAAAATTCACTGTCATTTTCAGAGGAGATAGGTGGGTGAATGACTCAATTTTGAATCCTGACTGTGTTTAGGTATGAGAAAGGCACAGAAGAGATAATCCTGCCAAGATGGAAACCATTCCCACAGAGGTCTAGTAGCACTCACACAACTAGATCTCCTCTGTGTTTCCAGCTATGAGGATGATGTTTAATTATTTTGATCTGTCTTTCTTCCACATAAGTAATTTTTCACTTGCCATCAAGGTGGCACACAGTCCAACAGGAAACCAAAAGTACCCCATGAAATTGTTTCAAAACTCTTCTGATATGTCCTGCTAGCTGGACTAAAAAAAAAGAAAAAAAAAGTAGAAATGTACTCGTGGAAAGCTGGGTTTATTTAACTCACTGGCTTGTTTTCTTTCAAGTGTACAGAAGCTAAATGAGTTTCTCCTGAGTGACGAGATTGGAGATGACAGCTGGAGAGGTGGGGACAGCTCTGTGGCTTATGAATCCTGTAAGAAGCACACAGGACTTGTAAGTTCCATTTTATGACACTGAATTTCAAAGCAGAGAGGCCATATAATCCCATACAAGGTTAACCGCTTACCTGACAGGGCCTGACAGTTTGGGCTTCCAGCCTTACTCCATCATTGACTGGTCTTACCTCTTCTGCGTTGGGATCTCTGCGTTTCTATCACATGAAGAGTCCCTAAACACCTTTAAGCATTACCGAAGTGCCAGTAGTAATAAAAAAAAATATAATACACTAACATATTTACACATAGTTCAGATTTGCCCTGCTCAGTGTTTATAAAAGGCCCAGGTACATTGTGGTTATGGGTTTTGTTGTGTATATTGCCAGTACAACCCATTATACATTGAAGCATCATTAAGTAGGACTGATTCCTGCTCTGGGAATTTCAGAACTGGAGATGGGAAAACCAACATCAAACTTTGTAAAATAGGAAATAATTCCAAAATGCTGTTTCAGGAGTGCTAAACGTATAGTGAACTGAGTAAAATTTGAGGTCAAAAAACCCAAGGAAGGTAATTTGGGAAAAGATATTTTTCACTTTAACAGTTTTCTAAAGGTAGGTATTTCAACTATTTCAAACTGATTACGTCATTTGAAATGTGACTGAAACTTGAAGAAGCAACAGAAAGAAAGGATTAGCACAACATAAGTTTTATCTTGACATGCATTGAATTAGGTTGCCAAACCAAACCAACATATTTCTGGCTTAACAATTTTTATAAGGTGGAAAAAAAAGAAATTGTTTCAGTGTTTATTTTGGGATTTTTGTCCATGTTTTGCCCAGCCCTATAGAGACAAAGTCTAGATGATGAGGGGAGGGAAAAATAAAGGTAATATCTGTAGATGTTAAAACATTTGCTCTAGGCAGCCCAGCTATAAGAAATCACTAAGATTATGCCTATTCAGCTCAGTACAGTGGTACTTACAAATACCCCAGGTAGCTCTGAATGAGATAGCTCCTCTGTCACTGTTACTCTGCACAAGCTAATTTGATATGCTTCTTGCTCCTGCAGCTATTCTGCTTCTAAGGACCAAACTGATAAATCTGCATGTCATTATACTTTTACTGACACAGCTTTGTTTGGAGCTACCTTGGGTAGAGCAGACTTACCTGGTGATTTGAGGAGGATGACAGAGCTGAAATTTGGGATGGCTATGTGTGGGAAACCAAAATCAGGAAGGTATTCCCCATGCTTCTGTTACAGGTGTTTGAAACATTAGAATATGTGCACCACAGTAGTACGTCTTTATTAGCACACGTATTGAAAAGCACTGGTTTCTTCTAGTGACCTAGAATAGTGATAAGAAAGGGAATGGATTGTTTTATAAGGAACCAAGTACTGTCCTCTCTTGCCAATTCAAACTTTTTTTATTTCTTCATTTCACTATGTAGCACACCAAGGCCATCAACAGAAGGCAGCCCTTGAGGTACCAGCTTGAAAGCTATGAACAGCCAACAAGGAAGCAAACACGTCCTGTGGAGATAGACGATATCGCCATCAAGGTGATTTGAAAACATTGTCTCATTCTGTAACTGTACCAGATCGCACCCCATTGATGCTGTTCTTCCAATAGGAAATTGTTCATTGCAAGAACAAGCCCTTAAATAAATTAGCACTATAGCCAAAAATCCAGTAAGAATTCATTGCAGACCAGCTCCTTATAGCTGTTCTCTGCCTTCTCAGAAGAGGGATCATAGGTCTGAAGAAACAAAAACTAGATAATCTGTTATGCAGAAACTGATATAGATTTTTTTGGACTCTCCCTTCATACGCTTCTCTTTCACTCTTAGTACCAAGATCAAAACTTTTGAATAATTTTTTGACATTTATTATGGTATGTCATCTCTTATGGCAGGAAGGTTGGATTAGACAATCTCTAAGGTCCCTTCCAACATAAGCCATTCTATGATGATGACATTTTAAGTCATGTTGGCCAAATTTTCCCTATATATGTTCTTGTGCTCTGTGCAAATAATGTTTCACGGCCCAGGCAGCTCCAAAGGAAGTACAAAAAGGGTAGTGTACACTAGGGAACATTTTTCTTATGTCCAACATAAACTTTGTGAATATTTAATTTGTACTTTGGGAATCCATTCACAAGAGGCCATATATCACAATACACAGGACGATTTAATCCTTCATAAGCTGTGCTGTTTTGATTGTTGTCAGTGAGATTTTTGTTATCGTTAGTCTTTAATCTTATACTTGACAGAATTAAAGTGTTTGGTAGAGTTCAAGCCAAGATCATCTCTTTATTGAATATTACACACAGTCTTTATATTTGTATATATAACTTCTCATTCTCACAAACTTTCCTGAGCTTTGCAATCTTTACCATCCTAACCTGATTTTTTTTTGTGTGTATGAGCATACCTAACCATGTCTATTAAATACAGATTCATTTGAGTAACAATTTTCAAATCCAAACTAAAATTTTATTTTTTTTTCCTTACCATCATGAGTTTATATATCTGACATGGTAATTATTTTGTAGGTGACCAATGGATACTTTTCATGGGGAAGCGGTTTAGCTACATTGTCAAATATAAACATCAGAATCCCAACAGGTAGGATAAATGCACATGTTAAACATTAAATACACAGTATCAAATTACTACTAATTACATTTCTTGATGTTATGAGAATCACAAACCCACACATTTAGATTTTTGTAAGAAAATATGAAGGTTAAAAACGTACGTGGCAATGAACTGTATAGGCCATATAGTTATAGCATTAACCTAACATACTACAAATAAACAAAAAATTACATGTTTTCAAATACCGATACAGTCTGTATAGTTTTTATAGTAGCAGGAACAAAGGCAAGAGTAAGAATAAATACGAAAAAGATGGCTGCAGAAAAAGTCATTATTATTTTTAACAGACAAAAAAAGAAAGAGGAGGACTCCAGACTCATTCAGACCAAGGGTCCATCTAACTTGATATTTTGTTCCAAGAAGTGGATACCATTGGGTGCGCAAGGACACAGCACTCATATGTTATACTTCTTCTACCATTCCTCAGCATGACAGTCTCCTCGTTCACAACTGTTTTCATCTCAGAGAATTTCTTAAGCATTTTGCAGTTGGTCTGTCAAGAAACTCTCAATGATTTTCTCTTTCAATTAATTTCTCTTTGTTCAGCTGAACTCCTGTAATTTCTTGCATTCTTAGTGTCTTTTTAAAATATTGATGTTCTGGAAGACTTAGATAGCAAATGCAAAAAGTAGCAACTTATTGTTATTGTTACTGTAAAATTCCTAACTCTCTGCTTGTATTTCGTATATTTTTATATCCTATCAACTGCTTAGTTTTTAAATAGCTTATTACTTTAAATTAACACATTTCAGATGTCACATACTTATTAAGTAATCCCAGAGTGTGTGTCATTTGCTTCACTGTAGCATTAGGCGTCCTATAGGTGGATGAACACTTCTTTATGCTGTCCCAGTGCCACATACAACACCGGCAGAAGGGCTTTACTCCAAGGAGTTTGCAATCTAAGGCCATGGCTTCACAAGCTGGGTGAGCCAGTCTAAGAGTCTGTCTCCTTCAGAAGGAATAAGACCCTTAATTCCCCAGCTGGTGAGAAGCTTACCTTGCAAATGCACTAGCTAGCACAGTTAGTGAATTCAGTTAGTTTTTGGGAAGATCTGAGAAGCATCATTGCCACTGCAGGCTAGGACTGAAGCCAAGTGGAGGGGGAGGAGTAAAGCAAAGCAGAAAAGAGTGATGGATCTTCTTTAAGTTGCAGTCACTTGTATAGACCGGCCCAAATTTTCATGGAAATGCAGACTAAATAATCCCTCCCCACTTTGTATCTTTTAACTCTAAATAACTTCTGTAAATAACACAGTCCCATGTGACGTATGGTAACATATGTCAAAGCAATAGTCTCATTCCTTTGGAGATTAGTAGTTACTTGTACTCTCCATCAATGAATATTTCCATAGATTAATATATGCAATATTGTCCATTTACATAGTGGATGCTAAAAAGTTTAACCAACTACTTCAGATGCTGTAGAACTGGATCTAACTGGGCCTTGTGAACTTGAATAGAATTGTTTTCAGTGTTTTTTTTTCTTTTTTTAATGTGCATTTGTTATTATTATTTACACAGGTCAGATGACAATGATTGTGGGTCAAGTTGGCTGTGGCAAGTCATCACTTCTCCTTGCTATATTAGGAGAGATGCAGACACTGGAAGGAAAAGTTCACTGGAGCAAGTATGTTTCATATAGCTATTAATTACTGTGTTCATTTAGGGAGGTAGCTGGGATTTGCTGTGAGAAATGTAAACTTCATGTCTCAGAACTGCATGTTAAATGGTTGTCATCACCCAGGTCCTCTCCGGAATGCTTCACGTGCAAACTTATCAAGGATTGTCATTGCTGCTTTGTCATGGTTCAGAGCAGGCAGAGTGTATTAGGAGGGGAAAGAGGCTAGTCTGGCAATTAGCATCTACTATATTATCCCTAGCAAATGATCTGAATAAAAAGTATATACAACTCCTATTTTCAATTAGGCTTCAATACTCACTGTAATTGAAATCAGCATTATTCTGCTGCTACTCTACACACTGGTGAAAGCATGACAGGCCAGAACTTCTTCATTTGAGTGGTATATGTGGGGTACTACTATACAGGAAAGGCTGTCTTTCGCACTCAGTGATGCTGCTGCAAGCAGATAAAAAAAAATTTAAAAATTATTATAATAACATACAAGCAGTGCTTTCCGCTTCCCTGGTATCTGCCCAAACTTTGCCTGTGGAAGTCAGGGTCACTCTTCACAATAATATGTTGAGAAAGCAGCCTGAGGACACCAAATACCTGAGGGTACGAAATACCTGAGGACTAAATGCTGTGAAGAAGCTGTTGCTGAAGAGGGATGCGCCAGTGAGGTCAGGCCTCGTGATCCATATGAATTCAGACCCAGTGAATGACTTCCTACAGAAACCAAGTGGGGAAGCAACCACTCTTCCAGCCTAGGCAGGGCAGTGGCTGTGGAAGGGATGTGCTGCAACCCTGAGACTTGTTTTTTTGATTTTAAAGACCAATTCTGTTTCCTTAAAACTACCAAGCCAGACTCTTAATGAGCTTTTTGAAGAGAAAGGTGAATTTTGTCACAGAGACCAATGTTTTGTTGCCTCGTTCCTAGACTGGTAACCTCCTTTGTCATCTTTTTCTTACAGCAATGTTGCAGGCTGGGTATTTTTACTTTTGCTCTTCTAGTATGTGTGGCATTCTTTGTTCCTAGCCATATTTCACTGTCTGCTGTTCTAAGTGCATGATCTCACTGGAGTAGCAGGTACAGGTGGAGCCAAGGCAAGACTAACATTAGTTTAATTATATGTGAGTTTAAGCTTTGAAGGAAGAAGAATATGTGACTTGCCACAGTTAATTTCTTTGAGACATGTAATGAAGAGTCCGACAACACGCCTGGGCCTTTTTTTTCCTAAGTAGTTTAAGAAAATATAAGGAGTGAGTAGTGTGTACCTTGAAATTATTCTCACAATTGTCTTCAAAGATATATTTGAGAAAGACTTAAATTTGTCCTAGAGAAAGATATAGACTCTTAGGAAGGGAAAGGAAATGTGAAATCTTAGAAAGATACAAGACGATGTTTATTAAATATTATTTACATTATTCAAGAGAGATTAAGATCATATTGTCAGTTGATTAACAGTCTGTACATAATCAGGCAACTTGGGTTTTAGCGAGCATCTCAGGCCTTACGGAGTGGGATTTTTCTTTGCAAACTATAATTTGCTACTGTGATATAGCTGATGCAAGAATGGTTATGTTTTGCTGATAATTTCAGACTACCTGACAGACAGATGAATACAGAAGGATACTGCAGGTATTTAACTAAGTGGATCTTAATTTTACAAAGCCATAATAAAGGTCCTATTTACCCTTTTAAATCCTATTCCATGTGATTCTGCTTGCATGACTAACGCAGCTACTGATCCAAGGATGAAATGTAGGCTAGCTGAATTCCCCAACAAATACAGGTATAAGAACACAGTAATAATAATAAGATTTCAGACCCAGTTATTTTAGGGTAAGCCTGCAATGCATCATTGTGCAAGCCCATCCTAGGTCTTGAATACCCTGTTGCTGTTGTGGTTGACTGCAGCAAGAGCTGTACATCCTGCTGCCGGGGTTGTCACTGGTTTAGAGGAAAAACATGTTTTAGTGTATTTTTATGTAAAAGGTCTCAGTCAAGGCAAATCTAATGGGTCAGGACTTAGTTCTTCCCACGTATATGAGACATGCCTTAGATATATTACAAACCTTAGGCAAGAAGCTGGCTTTTTTGTTTTCCCAGTGAGAAGTCAACTAGGGAGGCTGCTTTAACACCAAAGCATGGTGGCTATCTGGATGCAGTGGTTCAGCTGAGCCTGTTTCAGATCTGAGTTATTGATTATTAAGTCTGTACAGGGGCAGATGTGGGGCATGTGCAGTGACATGTATTCCCCTCACCCACACTAAGCCAAACTGTCAGAACCACCTTCTCAGACTACCAAGCAAAGAAGAGTGGCTAAGTGGAAGACCTTCACGGGATATACATTTTCTGTACATTGAACTGGTTTCTGTGTGAACACATTGTTGTGAACTAATTGAAAAGCATGGGAGACACAGGAATTATGGTACAGAACCTCCCAGATGACCTGTTCTGCCCTCACGTTGCGGAAGGCTTCAAGCAAAATTAGGAAAAGTCAGTGCTCCCCTCAGAAGGATTCCGAAGTACAACTGCTTACCAAAAGGTAGCTCACAGGAAACACTGGTGGGCATTGCGGATGCTGAAGTGATAAATGATTGCCCAGATAAATGTCAGTAGCCAAAGTCAGCATACCTACTAGCACTGCAGTGCTGCTCTGGCTGGTTGCTGGAATGGGAGCAAATTCCTCAAAACTGCTGGGTAGAATTTGTGTAGACGCTTAGTCCCTACCTTGCCTCAACTCTCTTGCCTGCATTAGGAGAGGAAATGGTTCAGTCTTCTGTTACAGTGATATCCTAGAGATTTCTTATCCCTTTTTTCTCCTCCATTTTCATTTTGTAGGCTGAGAAAATCTGGACCTGGTTAGACATGCATTAGTCTGTTTTAAAATGCCCAGAGTTAGCATAAAATTTGTCCAAAACTCAAGGTGTCTCTTTTTTACTTTTCCTTAAAACCTTAATTTAAATTAATTTCTGTATTATTTCAGTTTATATATTCAAAATCTTATAAAATGACTGATCAATTTAGTCAGTTTGGTCTTTCCTACCATTTCAGATTTGAATTTACCATGCCCAATTTTGGAAATATGTATATTTCATAGTACAGATAAAAAACCAGTATAATTAGTGACGTTTCAATAAATAAAGACATTAGAGCACAGATTACTAAACCCAGTGGGAAAATAAAATATGTTTTTTGGATGAAGCTCCAGCCCACTCCCATGCCCTGCAATCGCATCACTCTCAGATTCAGTAGGGTAATAAAGTACAAGACTGAATACCTAATCCCTGTATTTGTAAAGAGCCCGGCTCAGTAAAGGTCTTATATGTGTTTATTCATGAGATTATTAGTGAATGTGGGTTCTCACAGAAATCTCACTCATAATTTTGGAGAATTAAACTGTATTTGACAAGCTAAGCATGGAATGTAAGTTCTAACCAAGGAATGAGAGTTTAATAAACTCTTATTCCTAAAATTAGTCCTTGCTCATTCAGATAATCTATTTGCTTATAATGGCAAGCATATTAAATCTGGTATGCAATTGCAAGGGGTCTTGGAAGGCTTGTGGCAAATTTTTTTTAAATTATACTTCAGAGAGCACTCTCAAACATGTATACAAAAGCATTATCCCTTTCTCTACCAATGTGATGCTCTGCTGATAAAGTTTGGGGTTTTTTTTAATAGAAAAAGTTTAGGTTTTCTTCTTTTTCATTTGGCTTGGCCTAATTTCCAACCTCTTTTAATCTCTCATTAGACTCCATCTTTTCCTTTCTTGCAAATTTTTTTCCACTGTAGAGAAGACTGGAAGCTTCTGCTGAGTAAAGGACTGACTCTGGTGAAGCAATGTTTGTTTTGAGCTCTCTGACCCAACTGAGATAAGCAATAGGGCTCATTCACCTCTGATATAATATCTTCTCTAGCAATTAGTACATGAGGGAAACACACTGATTGTGCACTTTAGGAGGCATGAATTATCAAAGGTCATAGAAAGCTTCTGTGCAGCACAGAAAGCAATATATCTTAGTTCTGGCATTTTGGAAGATGCTTAATACATGAGTCTGGCATTACAAGGATTCTGCTATTAGAATTTTTACGCCCTTTGCCAGACCTGGATCCTCTGCTTATGAGGGCAGCTGCAGTTACTGGTATCCCAACAGGCAGGTTATTGGTATCCCAAGCACACTTTTCAACTGGAGGCTTCGGAGGGGAGGATTTCTTTGTTTGGGTTCTTTTTTTAAGTCAGGCAAATAATACATTAGTATTAGTTTTCTAGTCCCTTCTAATGCTAATTTCCTTTCACCTGGCATAAACTTACTCTCTTAGGTTTTGCACTTTGCAGTGATGTATCACCATACCTGGACATGATCACCATCACTGCTCCAGGACTGCTTTGACTGCCCTTCCATGCTCTTGATACTGTTAAAAAGTCAACAAACAGGGAGCTGCAACAATCATTCACATCATTACTGCCAGTGCATGTTCTTCAAAACGTATATCAAGGATATGATCCTTAAGAAGTGGAGGCTGACATGAAAATCTACATGCTGTAGTGCCATGCAGGGCCTAGTGCATCCTTACTGCTATAAACACATTCTGTTCTAATTCAAAAGTGTGTTTGCACCTTGGAAAATCAAATTTGCAAAGCTTATCTCTGCGCCAGCATAAATTTGAGATTAGAGTAGTTACCAGTTTTTGCAGATCATTGGTGAAACTGTGTGGAGAAGTTCACTTATTGCTTGACAACCTTTTATATGCCCTGGCAATATTAATAATTTCATTTTTAGTAGATTTTGCAATACATTCTTCATTTTTAATACATTTTCTAACAACATATCTTGTTTAGCCACTATACTCTATAGATATGAAACCCAGGGTAATGTTGAGTTCTTAAAATATGTATTTAACTCCAATTTCCCTATATATAAACTTGCACAAAACATTGTTCTCGATATTTCTTGCTTACTAAATGTAATTTACCATAACTTACAGTGTAAATGAAACTGAACCTTCTTTTGAAGCATCCAGAAGGTATTTTTTCTGCTTTTAGAGTATCATAATACATTCATTCCTTTCTCCAGAACTTCCTCAAACCTTCATCTTTGTACTCTTCAGCCATCTCTGTGTTTTCTTACTTTGTTGATAACCATTTGCCATAGGATTAACTGACAGATTATGTTAAATCCAGTGGATCCCAATCTTCTCCAGCAGTTGTACCACTACCTCAGTCTTGTCTGAAAGACGTTGAGAGCTCCCAGCTCCTGTTTGACATTCCTGGGAGTTTAGTGAGCTCCGTATCTTGCCAGACAGGGCCTCTAGATATAAGACATCATTATGTGTGCCCTCCATATGTGTTTGTATGTTTTCTGATCAGCTCTGGGTTTCGTGTTGCCTGACACCCTGCTTGAGGGTGATGTGAGGGAGCAGGGCACACAGCCTGGGAAGGGAGCCGGCCGTGCTCCAGCTGAAGTCAAGTGACTTCACCCCTGGCTCCAGGGAAAGGGCCCACAGGTTTAAAATAAGGACAAGCTAAACTAAAAGCACATCATAAATGATAGAGAAGTAGTGGCACACATAGCTGTGGTTGGGAGCCACACCATGATTTGCTACCCAATAATCCTGAGGACATATTTCATACTAGTATGTACTGAATTGCTAAACCTCCTAAAATTTTTGGGATACTACTGACTGCTTCTAACCAGCTATATCTTATACACTAGCACCCTCTCTCTCAATCACAAATCCTAGATGTTTACATAGAAAACTATTTCAAATGTTTGGTTTGAAGCAACAGCATCAAGAAGACTGAGAAGTGGTCAGATCTCACAAGCTGATACCTGTTCCTACCTCCTTCCTCACAGATCTTGGGCATCTCAGAAAAATGTCTGAAATGACATGACATTTTTTGCTGCTGCACATAGGCAAAACAGTCAGAATTAAAGAACATTTACACCCCTATTGTATATTTGTCATTAGGTGTTTGAACACATTTAAAGTACGTCCAATAAATACTTGGGAGACTGTATTGATTCCTTCCCAATATGTATTAAACTGCCCTCTTTTCCAACACCATGTCAGTCCACTCAGGATATAATAGCCTTAAAAGAAAAAAACATTCACTGAGAAAAAAAGTATTTCATGTGTATGGAGACATAAAATATTATAAAGCTTCAGAAATCAGCAAGTCAGTTGTACTGATGCCCTCTGAACACTGCCTTTTCGCTAGCTGTTTTGAAGTTGAAGAAGAAAAAACCAAATAAATATTCTTGTGAGAATTTAGTAGTTTTGATTGTTTATAATTTGCCTTTGCATTGAAATTGCAGTTACTAGATTGAAGGAGATACCAGCCATTTATAGTAGAATAGAATACAACCTGAAGTGTAGATTTTGCCATCAGGGGAGAGAGTGGGTGCTGTTCTAACAAAAGCATCTAATTTAAAATTCTTCCCTTCACACTTGTAACAGTTGCTTTGCCTATGTGTTTCCCTGCATTTTTATGAAAGCACATTCATAAAATTATTTTTTTAATGATTCTCAGACATTTTATAATGTGAGTGCTTTGCTTTTTACTAATATTCTTTATCTGTCTACAGTAGAAACAGATACTCAGTGGCTTATGCAGCCCAGAAGCCGTGGCTGCTGAATGCAACCGTGGAGGAGAACATTATCTTTGGGAGCCCATTTAATAAACAGAGGTAAATATTAACCTGCTTGCAAAAGCACTTGGCAGCTTCTTTTAGAGAGGTTTTTTGGCTTCTTATTCTGGAGGAATTTTGTAGATTCTAAAAAATATCGATGCACATTAACTCCAGGGTGGGTTTAGCTAACCTGACTTCAGTCACCTCAGAGGGAAGTTTCTGTTTTAAATTAGTCTCTCAAGGCTCTCCCCCTAACCAGAGTGCATGTCTAAGATGTTTGTGAGAAATCACACACAGCGGCAGTGGCTCTCCATGGAATACAGCGGAAGCCGTGTGTGTATTTTTCAAGCAGCTAAAGTTAGGTGAGATGAATCCCATCATTGGAGACTACTGGCATGTTTTTGTGTTGTTTAATGGAACATGAGGTTGCCAGAGGACTCTGGAAATAGGGATTTTAGGCATGTTTCCACTGAGTTTATGTGCTAATCCTACTGTGATCAAGTTACTGGAGCAGCCACTTTACAAAAAATGAAAGATAGAGTGCATCAAAGAAATAACATTTATTCCTTCTTTAGAAATACAGGAGAAAGGAGAGAGAAAGCTGAGGTGCTCAGCTTCTGTTGTGCTACTCAGCACTTGCTTCTTGTGTCCTTCTAAAAGGTCAGCTAGCGAATACAGTAGAAAAGCAACTTGACTTTAGGAAAACAAACTGCTGATGTTTTCAAGGCAACACTCTTTGTTTAAAGTTATTAAAAATAATCCTTTTTCTTTCAGTATGTTTTTTGTTAAGATGTATGACTCCATTCCCACTGAATAAAACTTAGCAATGACCAAATATCTCAAAATCCAGATAAGCACCTAAAATGTGAGGGACCAGATTCTTCAGCTACTGTATCCATCAGCCTAACTTCACTCACATTAAAGGGGCAAGGCTAAATTACACCACTCAGTCTGATCTCAGCTGCTCATTAGCAGATCATCTGCAGTACCCCACAGACCTAGAAATATCACAATAAATTGCAAGTTTTTGCAAGTGGTTTCCTGGTTCTGGCAAGATCAGAAGCCTTGTAAGGATCCTTTGTCCTGTAATATCATGCTGAAGTAAATGAAAAGGCACCTAAAGCAGGGAGAATAATACCTCATTGGAAAATGTCTTCAAACACTCCAGAGTCTAGCAAAACAGTTCTCTGATAGGGAGGAATGTGCTCAGTAATTTATATAATTGAATCTTTAAAAAGTAGACTTCCCAATAAAGATCTATAATAAATATATCGATTTTTTACAATATTTAGTTTGCAATACTCCACGATTATTAATTAATCATTTTGCCTACTTATTTTTGCAGTTATCCAACCATCACAGAGGCATAATAACTTAGCAGTGGATTTGAGCTCGTGGGTTTTGTGTTAGTAAAGCAAATAATTGTGAATCACCTATTCTTCTTGTAGGTACAAAGCTGTTACAGATGCGTGCTCTCTGCAGCCCGACATTGACTTACTACCATTCGGTGATCAGACAGAAATTGGAGAAAGGGTAAGTAACATGAAAGCTTTTATGTCTGCTTAGCTTATGTATTAAGAAGGTGCTCATTGTTGTCAGTCAGACAGATCTAGCCTGTATTGGGCTGCCAGACTGGTAAATAATTGTAATTCATCAGGGGTTACTGCAAAAAAAGTTGAAAACTTTTTTCTTTCTTCAGCTATTTCTCAAATGGGATTTCTTTATCAACATCTCCTCTGTTTTGCTTGCAGAATTTGATGGTAGTATTGGTTGCATTTCTCAATCTAAGAAGCATACTGTGCTCAGAGAAGCTTTTCATAATTTACATTTACCCATGAGTAGTTGCTGAATAATCATTTTTCTTCTGATTTTATATGAGGATTATGCTTGTTTATCAATAGGGCTAGCATTTTAATTAATTTTTACTGGAACACTGCATAACTGTAAAAAAAAAACATTTCCAAAGTGCTATCATAATGTTTATTCAAATATGCATATTTCTGATCCATTATACTCATTAGGGGATTAATTTAAGTGGCGGCCAACGACAGAGAATCTGTGTGGCTCGAGCACTCTATCAGAACACCAACATTGTCTTCTTGGTAAGATTTTGCTTTTTCACATGGAACATGAAAAGTTAGTAATAAAATTGTCATTCCTTATATTTAGCGTTAGAAAAATTTATGTTAGATTTAGAGAACTATAGGGATTTGCATTGAACTCCAAATCCAAATTATAGACATAGGAAAAAAACATCCGCCAGAGGCAACATCAAAACATACTGGGAGACTGATGAAGGTGGAATTTCCTACAGAGACTAACACTGGAAGAGCAGAACAGATTGTCTAACTTCTGCTCGCTCTCAGTGATGACCTGCCATCAACATCATTCCACCGAAATCAGCAGAACTTCTCATAAGGAGAAGCCCCGTAATGCAACTACTTGTGTGCAGTAAGCAGGCGGACAGTTCAACACTCTCCTGCAGAGTGCTGCGGATTTGAACAAACCTTCCCTTCTCTGTTACTAATTTCAGGGTATATCAGGAGTTTCAGGAGGCTACTGCTCGTGAAGGGGCTGTTTCAGCCTCTTCATAAATAACCGGGGACTTCGCTTCTTAGAGAAACAGTGATTACATAGTAATATCCTTGTCTGAATGTTGTCTTGTTGCTAGTCACGCTCACTCCCAGTGAAGACCAAGCACATCTGCCGTTTAGTTTGGAGGAAATTAGAACAGTTCTAACTCTGCTTTAACTTTCTTGTGCCAGTTTCTCAGCGAAATTAGGCCCAAGCTTGGCTCTGGATCCTGAGATTTTCAAATTCTGTTCTGGTGAGTTTTCAGTTCTGGTGTTCCTGACAGAATTACGCCACACTGTCAGCATGACACCAGCACAGCACACATCTAGACACAAAAAATTAATAGAGTCCATTGCTGTGAGTGAAAGAGCATTGGCTTCTAGCTCACTGTTTCTTAGTGTGGCCCTCTGACTAGGTCTTAGTCATTAGAGAAATGAAATTACAATAATGGCAGATGCTTTTTGCTTTTTTTTTTAGAAAAAACTCTTCAAATAAATAACTTTTTTTTGCATCCTGTTCTAATACTTAATTTGATTTGATTTCAGGATGACCCATTCTCTGCACTGGACATTCACTTAAGTGATCATTTAATGCAGGAAGGGATTTTGAAGTTTCTGCAAGAAGACAAGAGGACTCTTGTTCTGGTGACTCATAAGTTACAATATCTACCACATGCTGACTGGGTAAGAGTAGAGATACAATGATGTAGATTTGCTAATGATAAACATACACTTGAAATTAGCACCGTAACGCTTACTGAAATCACTACTTTTCTCTGTAATAAAGTCTCTTCTTAATTCCATATGTCATGTGGCTAACTGGCACTTTATATAATACAGATTTTATAGTAGAAGGAACATTTTTTTGCATTATTTGTCATAATTCTCCACCAGAGAATTATGACTTATTTGCAAATATAATTATTATTACTATGTCTTGTTCATGCTTATTACAAGGAGAAGTAAGCATGGCTTATAGAAGCTTCCATTTATGAACTGTGTCAACTAACTTAAGAAGTTATTAATAAAATATGGAATAAAATGAGCACATAGATTTCTGTAATCATAATCTCACCAATACTGAGACATATCTTGTAGCATCTAAGTCAGTGATTATGGGATCTGTGTTGCTGAGTAGACCTGTTGGATGCTTTCTCCCCTAGATAATAGCGATGAAGGATGGAATGGTGCTTAGAGAAGGGACATTAAAGGATATCCAAAACAAGGATGTTGAGCTATATGAACACTGGAAAACTCTGATGAATCGCCAAGATCAAGAACTGGAAAAGGTAAATAGGAACATTTGGACAAGGATGATCTTTCTAAAAATAAATATTTTTCAATTAATTTGAAAAATCCCCAAACAAACTATGTCAGAAAGCAGGTTTTAAACTAGACATTATGGAAAATACAAATGAACTGTAAAGAATGTTAAGGACCAGAATATATTATCTAGGAAATATGTGGCATATCCATCCTGGGTGGTTTGTAAGGACACATCAGGCAAACATCTTTCTGAAATGTGATGCACAACTGATCCTTTGCTGTGGCAAGGGATGGACTGAGAGACTTCCTAAAGAATCTCTTAGCCTTTTATTCTGTTATTGCCATGAGCATCTGGGATTATCTAAAAACTATTTTTGAAGTTTTTAGCATTCCAGAAGAGAAGGAATGAAAGAATGGAAGAAAGAAAGAGGGAAGGAAGTGGACAAAGCAGGGTTTTCTGCAAGATAAATCCTAAACCACTGTGCTTTTGCGGTCTGTGAGATAAATGATCCAAATAAAGCCTCTTTGAGGTTACTGCTCATGCTACCACAGTGGCAGATGGCTAAGCTCTCAAATTAATAAAAATAAGTTTCTTTATTACAGGATATGGAAGCTGACCAGACTACTCTTGAGAGAAAAACCCTTAGAAGGGCCATGTACCCCAGAGAATCCAAATCACAACTGGAAGATGAAGATGAAGGTATGTTTTATCCTTTCACTTTATTTACTCTATTATTCTGTTTCATTGCCTTTCCACTTGAATAGCTGGCAGGTCTTGCCAACAAAGCATAAAGATGTCGATGACTCTTGGTAGTAACAGTGCAAAGTCCAATACCTGTTTACAATATGACTTCTTTAGGGGATTCTCCACAGATTTCTCTAAACATTGTGCAGGGATAAGGGTGTACCGAAACAATTGCTAGCTCATACTGCCTAGAGGTATTGAAGGGTGAGCCAGAAGTAAAAAAATAGTAAGAATTATTATTAAAGTAGATTGAGGTAGCTCTGCCTCGTCACTGGCGCAATAATGTTAGATCAACTGTATCCCTGTCCTTCATGAAATACCCGTGCTCTTCCCCTGTGCTCCTCCCCAAAAGCCCCTATTCTGGGCTTTTGAAATATCACCACGTGATCAAACTTACAGCTATTTTCTATTCCTTTTTGCATATGGAGTTAACCTGCTATTTTTCTAACTGAGACTATTTATGGGAGAAGCTTTAGGCTTTGTTCTCAAGCTTAGCTCCGTGTTCCCCCAGGTCTTGGTGCTTTTCGAGGGACAGATTCAGATTCACATCACTTTTGAAGTGAGGCAAGGGGCAGAAAAGCTGGTTGTTGGCAGCTGGCAACAAGAACTGTCAGGGACATCCTTGGAACGCTAGACCAGATTTAAATGGAGTACTCAGCCCTGGCAAGCAGTAAATTTGTGACAGAGAAGACAAGAGGTGAACTGCAGGCTTCACCTTAACAGGAGCACTATCATGGCAAAATTGGCTGGAGCTATCGCAGAATGCGCACTAGTTGTTGACAGGCTCTTTATTGCTGCCTCATGTTTCATCTGGCAATGCTCATGATGGATTGCCATCTTAAGTCATAGATTTATAGGTCCTAGATTGCTCCATTTGGAAGAGATTCCCAGTTGCTGCACAATAGGCAGAGCTGGACTCCAAAACCCTTGGGATGGAAATATTTTGTTGGTTTCATACTTCTTTGGCAGAGCTGAGCAGAACACCTCTTACCATGTGTAGTCATCAGTACACTTTATCACTTAAATTCTTGGAGGAGTTTAAATTGAGGTAATTCTCAATCTCCTCCTTTCATTCTGTGCATGGAAGCCTTGCCAAAAACCTCTATCTTCTTTGTGGGGTAAGATAGAAAACATGGGGAAAAGAGATATATCTGTGTAGTCCATGAATGCCTGCAGAAAGCAGACATAATTCAGATCCAAAAACACATTACCAGTAACTTCAAGACAGAAATATAACGTGGCATTGCATTCTAGGCCATCCATACTTATTATGTGACCTAGGGAATGTACGCAAAGTCTCTGTGTCCCAAAAAGCGTAGAATTTCCACTTTCAACTTTCAAGAACTCACTCACTAACTCATTTTTAATGTTCAAAATCAGAAATGAGTGAAAATGTTGTTAGTTCAGGGCTGTCAAGAGCAAGTCAACATTTCTCTTCTCCAAGTGTGGCTTGCAAGGCTGTGAGATGTATATTCTCATTTCCTAGAAAAAGTAATTTTAAAATGTCATGTTTATGCACCTATGAATTACATATTTCTCATAGCAGAATTCTTCCACTAATTGTATTGCAGTATAATATAAACAATTATCATTTTACCAAAGACAAAAATTCAGTACTCTCAAATGAAAGGAAAATTGAACTCTTTCATGCAACAGATGACAGATGGAAAAGGATTTCTTGGATAGAAGACTTTGGCGAGATTTTTAGAATCTTCCCTGTGACCCAAAGTGCTCTGCTGGCTGTTAAATAAAAGCAGCTGAACGGGTTGGGAAAGGCCTAGTCTCCAAATAGTCAGTACTGAAGACATGACTTACAAAAATATTTTATTAAAAAAGCTGTTACAGGCCAAAGACTGACAGTCTATAGAGCTCCTTGAAGAGCACAAAGGAAGTCTTATGGAAATATATCTGAAGCGTTTGCTGGTTTTAAATGACAAATAGAATTTTGCCATTAAAATTAAAACTCAGAACAACAACAACAAAAAAGCCAAATAAGTGCAGTAAAACCAGGTGTAATTCTTAGTACTGAATCCAAGCTAATTTGATCAAATGTCTGAGTCACAGAGGAAGAAGAGGAAGAAGACGAAGATGATAATATGTCAACTGTCTTGAGGCTCAGAACAAAGATGCCATGGAAAACCTGCTGGAGATACCTAACGTCAGGAGGATTTTTCTTGCTCTTTCTGATGATTTTCTCAAAGCTGTTGAAACACTCGGTTATAGTGGCCATAGATTATTGGCTTGCTACGTGGACATCCATGGACAATGCAAATGAAGTCAGGAATGCTGATGATGTTGAGAGCACAAATAAGGTGGGCCATATCTTAAGCTTGACAGGAGAAAAAAAATGTTCTGAAGTAATTATTTGTTGTTCATCTAGAGGCTAACTTCATTGGAAAGACAGATAGAGTAAGATTTGTTACTGTATAGGATGGATGAATTGTTCATGCTAACATAAAATAATTCAGATTTTATCAGTCTTTTCAAACATGCAGAACTGAAGCAGAAATATGTTTGAGGTTAGAAAAATGATTGACCTTTCGAAGGAAGAAGTCTAAGCTTTTCCATCTGGGTTTTTTAACACCTAAGTCAATGACCCCATTTTCTTAAGTACTATCTGTCCAGTAATGTCTTGCCAGGAAAAAAAAAATTCTTTAAATGTACTACTTAATTACAATCTGCTTATAGCTGTAAATTTGACTCGTATACAAGTAACTCATTGGAATCCACTTAGCAAACTATCAGAAAGCTTAAATATGTTATAGCCCTGGCAGATTAGGTTAGGATTTGCGCTGAGAATTAGTCGTGCTTGAACTTAATGAAGTGGAACTTTCCAACATCTCTCAAAATCCTTAATTCTTAAGAGGTTCTACTTTGGTTTTCTGAGTTTCTTGTCTAACAATCTGCATACTTTTGTATTTGTCCAGGTAGACTGTCTTCACAGTTCTAAGTACTATCACTTCAAGGTCTTGAAGGGTACTCATCAGTAGGCTGAAGGACTTTACAACTGCCAGATCTTCTAATGAATTGCAGTTGTGAAATAGTTCTTTTATGTTCCAAAGGTTTTATTAATATGGCTATCACATAAGTGATGTGACGTACTAGCTGATTGGTACCAGGTATTGTGGGAACTTCCTAGTAGAAAAGAGAAATGGGTTTTTATTTCTAGGATTGATGTATTTGTCATTTTCTTAGACTTATCATGTAGCTGTCTTCAGCATCCTTTCTGGAGCAGGGATTGTCCTTTGCCTTATCACATCTCTGACCGTGGAGTGGATGGGCCTTACAGCAGCCAAGAACCTACACCATAATCTCCTCAACAAGATAATCCTTGGACCAATCAGGTACTGCAAAAATAGTATTCCTCCCAAAAAACTCCATGGTCAAAACCTGACCTCTGTAATTGAGAGGGCACTCCTGTGAAAAGCTCTTGTATTAGCCCTTTTTCTTTCCAGGCTTCAAAAAGTGAAAATAACTAGCGAGGTAATCAGGGTGGGGAAAAAAAATCCATGTCAGAACATGTGAAATTCTGCCCCATTTTTTATTTCTGAAATGTGTAAATAGCTAGCTGCAGTCAAACGCTGCAGTTACTAGATTTCTGTTGTTTGGGGACAGGCTCTGTGCATGATAACCACAGTCTCTCACAGGCAGCAGGATGGCCAAAAGGATGCCTGCCTAACAAATACAATTATTACAGTGCTTACATGAAACAACCGAATCCCAGTGCCCAATACTACATGGGAGGTTGAGTAGCAACCAGGGACAGGCTGTGATCTTCAGAAGGGGTCTTAAATCTTGAGGGAGCATCAGTGAAAGAGCAGGAGGCAAGACAGTAGGTTTTTGGAAGAGGACATCTAAAATTTTTTGGGGGGAAATGCCAAAGGAAGCATTTAGGTAGTCAGGATGCTCTTATTTTATTCATATTTACTGCTTGGTTTTAGAAAATGGCCAGACACAGCTCTGTCTAACAAGGCTTTTTATCCAAAACTGAAATATCTTTTCAGGTAACCTTTTGTTTTTAATTTGTTCAACAGGTTCTTTGATATGACTCCATTGGGGCTAATTCTAAATCGATTCTCTGCTGATACGAATATCATTGATCAGGTAGATGTATCAATATATTCTGGTTTATTACATCTTGACTTTGTAAATTTTCACTTAGCCTTTGAATTAGACGATGTATTAAAATATCCAGTAGAGAAAGGCAGAGCAAAAAAGGGCTCTGGGAATGACAATAGACACATTCAAAATAGAAAGTACACACATTTGTAGTAATGAGCACAGGTAACCATGAGAATAAAGGTCATGGGATATGGCTCTTAATTTCTTCCTGTACAGACTGATTGCTTCTGTTGGAAAATCTGAATTAGTGAAACACCAGATTTTGGACTCAAAACATGAAACAGGGTAGAATATAATAGCTTTAACTACATAGGAGTACATGTGACAAACAGATGCTCCATCCTGGCTGTAGCACATGTCAGTTAGGGCCATTTAGGCAGAGGAAGGGATGCTTTCACTACGGCTGTGAATTAAAATATTTAGATGAGAAATAATCCTGAATGTAAGGGTGATGGGAACATAGAAGGAAAAATTAGGAGGCTCGGAAAAAGAGCATGCTGTTTCTCTAAATATTTGGAAAATCAGAACAATTTTCTCTTTCTTGACTGTCATATAAACAAGGTGCAAATGGCTACTATTTCCCCACGGTCTTTGAAGCATTGACCTTTAGAAAAAAACCTACTAACCTCTTTTTTAACTTCTGCACATTTGAGTAGTAGACCCACAGAAACATAAGGGCTCCTTACGTAAGGAGAATATTAGTGAGAGCACAGTGGTATCCATGTGATCCTCTGTAGGAAAAGGCACATAACAGTACTACCATTGATTTTTGCCTTATGTATGTTTTTCATTTTGCTCTAGCACATTCCTCCTACGCTGGAGTCCCTTACCCGGTCCACCTTACTCTGCCTGTCGGCCATCGGAATGATCTCATATGCCACTCCATGGTTCCTTGTTGCCCTTGTGCCTCTCGGGATAGCATTTTATTTCATCCAGAAATACTTCAGAGTTGCTTCCAAGTACGCATGAAAAAACCGTCCTGAAGATCTCTTCTAAAAAATTTATACAGTGGAATTGTGATGGAATGTGATGTTATAGGGACTAGTATGAGGGGCAAATGGCCATGGTGTCCTGCTTTTGATCATGAGATTTGAGACATACATTGGAAGATGTTTCAAGCTGACCTGACTATAAACAGGGTATTTGGGGAAGTAACACCAATTGCATCACTTTTGCACACTGCTGACTATAAAGTCAGAGGAGCATGAAGTTTGTTAATCAACTGAGCCAGCTCGCATCTGGTCAAAGCTCCTCTTTGACCTTTTGTGGGTTAGTAGAGAATGGAAAATAACTTCCTGGATTAATATCAGTCACGTTTTTTTCTTCATACTGGGAAAAAAAAAAACCCTCCACTGTACGCAACACTTTAAAATGGTTTGGCTGATTATAAAAAGTACAATTTTTCAGCAAAAAAAGTGTCATGATTTCTTAGAGTCATGCTTCTAGTGCTAAATTAATTATCTGATTTAGTAAAGCAGTCAGCCATTCAAAGCTTTTTCTTAAATTCGATCAATGCGTCTTTATTTTTATCAGACAGGTTTCTGGTTGGATTTAGTCCATTTTCTCATATTTAAAAATGCCCATCAAGGTGACTTGTTGACTTGCCCCTTCTGGCCCTTTCTTTGCAGTAGGCACATGGTAAAGCGTTATCTGCTGTTTTGTAGCATCCCATTAAGAGACATGGTGATTTCAAACAGAGCCTACCAGTACAGTTGGCTTCACAGATATTCCCCTTAAATCGTTGGAGCAGGAGGTACACAGAACAACACATCAATAATTTAACTTCACTTTACTTTTCATCCTCTTTGCTTCAGAATTTCCAAGGAGATTTATTCATAAGAAAATTCTATAATCAGAATTCATAAACCAAAAATGTTTAATTCTGAAATAACTTGCCTAAATTCTCTGACATTTTTCAGAAACCTTGTTTTTTCCACACCAGTTTTGCAAACTAAAGCTGTATGTGGCAGTACATCGGGTCTCAAAGTGACCAAGGAATCAGGAGTCCTGGTTTTCCTTCTTAAATCCATTGTGTTCTGAGTGTCACTGAGTCTCGCTACACATCGTAGTGCACACTGTCTAAACTTCTTACTTAAAATACACAGAAGTAGGAAAAATCTGATGTATTAGACCCCCTGGAAATACTACAGTTTCTCTCTGTGCTTTATATGTGAGAGTAAACTCTCCAGCCATCTCCAAACCTGGTTTTCCCACATTCTATACCAACAACCATACTTTGCAATCTAGCAAGAGGTTGATCATGCATAAATCAGCACACACACACACACACACGTGCACGCACCCGTTGGCTTTGAAAGTCTGTACCTGCCTTATTCACTATATTCCATGACAGTTTTCTGGGAAAATCTGTATTAGCAAGTGCTTTTTTTAGTCTGATTAAATTAAACTCTTAAGTCACTTGTGCGGCATTGAGGGTTGTCTTGTGTTCTTTCAATCCACATAGAAATCTAATATATTTCTGGAAAAAGTAGTCCTGGTAAATGTAGGATGAAGGATTATCTTCAGCCAGTATTTATCATTTACTTGCATGCAGTACTTTACAGGCATATAACCTTCCCTAATTTTTAGACATGCAAATATTTACAGTATTTCTTGCAGCACTTTGACCCTTTGTTGTATTTTCCATTACATCTCTCAAAAACTTCTGTGTATTTTCCATTATAATTTTGAAAGGGAGCATATTTATCATCAAAACATAAGCAGCAAATTAAGTTCTGTATACTCTAACATTCAGCATCACAGAGCAGTTATTTCTCCTGCCTATCTAATACCATGTGCAAACATAGTAGGATTTTAATAAAGAGTTTAAATATCTAATGATCTGGCCTCTCTTCTGTTTATACAGCTGGCTGCTATGCCAGTGGCAGAGTGTTACAGAAAGATATATTTGTCTACGTAGTTTGGAAAATGTTCCTGTTTCAGGAGACTGAAACTTTTTAGACTTAAATATCATTGCTCCCTGCAGGTCTTGAAAATACCATTGCTGAATAATTGAGGAAACTTCTCATTCATATTATTTCCCTGTCAGTGCTGTCTCTATTTCAAACAATGTGGTAGAGTTAACCCTACAAATAGGTCTGCTATGGTTTGTTATATTCTACATTCAGCATACTCAAAATGAGGCAACTGATGTAAGAGCCACAAATAGCATGCCATAAAGTTTAAAATCAACTATTCTGAACTTAAGTGAATGATATTTTTACATTAATTATATTGTAATTATAAATAATATTA